TTGGGGAGCGCTGGGAGCGAGGGGGCCAGATGGCTGCTGATGGGTGGGGGGGCTGGAAGCGGCGCGCATCTGAGCCCTGCGAAAGCTTCCAGTGGAAATCCCCTTTTTACCTGCCATTCCCAAATGCAGTAAATTAGGCAGCTCCAGGGGTATCTGCCAGGCTCTGGTTTCAATTAAGCTTAAGTAAAAGAGATGTTTACAAGCTTATACAATTGCTTTCTTTTCCTCCTTTTTTTTTCTTTTCCTCCTTTTTTTTTCTTTTCCTCCTTTTTTTTCTTTTCCTCCTTTTTTTTCCTTTCCTCCTTTTTTTTCTTTCCTCCTTTTTTTTCTTTCCTCCTTTTTTTTCTTTCCTCCTTTTTTTTCCTTTCCTCCTTTTTTTTCCTTTCCTCCTTTTTTTTCCTTTCCTCCTTTTTTTTCCTTTCCTCCTTTTTTTTCCTTTCCTCCTTTTTTTTCCTTTCCTCCTTTTTTTTCCTTTCCTCCTTTTTTTTTTCTTTCCTCCTTTTTTTTCTTTCCTCCTTTTTTTTCCTTTTCCTCCTTTTTTTTCCTTTTCCTCCTTTTTTTTCTTTTCCTCCTTTTTTTTCCTTTCCTCCTTTTTTTTCCTTTTCCTCATTTTTTTTCCTTTTCCTCCTTTTTTTCCTTTTCCTCCTTTTTTTCCTTTTCCTCCTTTTTTTTTCTTTTCCTCCTTTTTTTTCTTTCTTTTCCTTTTTTTTTCTTTCTTTTTCCCCTTTTCCTTCTTCCCCCCCTCAGAGAGAAGCCCAGCAAAATCGACCCATTATGGACAAAACACAGCAACAAGTACGTCTGGGCCCAGCAAGGCCAACTATAGCAGCTATCAAGAAATAATCGCCAACTCTCTCCTAAACCTAGGCCAAATAGCGGAGGAAACCCTTGCCATCGAAGGGCAGCTGCCTGAAGCTGAGCTGCAGGTCTCCAAGCCACCATCCAACGTTGTGCACCTGGTCCATGAGGATGCGGGAGAGGAGTTAGTGGACGAGGAGTGCGACAAGGAGATCATTATCCAGACGGAGGATGCGGAGGAGGTCATCGAGGTCACCAGCGAACGCAGCAGCGAGTTGTGTCTGGAGCACCGGGATGATGCGACCTGCGAGGAGTCCTGCAAACTGCAAAAGGCTGAAGCAGAAGAAGAGGATGAAGATGAGGAGGAGGAGGATGAAGATGAGGAGGAGGAGGAGGAAGAGGAAGAAGAGGAGGAGGAAGAGGAAGAAGAAGAGGAGGATGAAGAGGAGGAGGAGATGGCTCCTGAAGTGATCTGCGAAGAAGCTCCTCACACTTCTCAGGACACCCAGAAAAGCCACTGTGAAGGGCAGTTCAGCCCGAAGCCCGAGTACTCAGTCATCGTGGAGGTCCGGTCGGATGACGACAAAGACGACGATGCCCGCTCCCAGAAATCGGCAGTGACCGACGAGTCAGAGATGTATGACATGATGACGAGGGGGAACCTGGGGCTGCTGGAACAAGCCATCGCACTGAAGGCTGAGCAGGTGAAGATTGTGCGGGAGCCCAGCCGGCTGCCAGGAGAGCACGTAAAGCACTTCCAGGTGGATGAGAAACAGAGCAAACCGCTGGACAGCATCCGAAAGAGCTACTACGGCAAAGGTACGGGGATGAGCCTTCACATGTCTCCTTCCTTCCCGTCCCCGGCTGAATTTGCTCAGCACCCCATGAAAACTAGGCTGCTGGGGGGGTTTCACAGCCCACAGAGGGAATTTAGCTACAAATCCTCAATGCCCAGAAGGATGGGGACATCCTAGAGGTCAATAGTGAATGCACAAAACGATGGTGTCCTCTACATCTCAGCAGGAGAGTTGCCTGGCTAAATTGCCTGTTGGCCTTGAAAATCTCAGCCTGGTCAGTAGGGCTGGTTTAAAATCCAAGTGGGTTTTAAAGTAGTGGTAGGAGCCCAGCCACAGCAACACGAGGGACTTGGCAGGGGCTGCAGAGTCCCCCGGGTGCTGAACTGGGCTGCCTGCTCGGTCAGTGTGAGCTGCTCCACACTCCTAGCTGGGTTAGCTACTCAAATTGCTTTGTTGACTCTAATTTTTGAAAATTCCAGTGTTACAATTCCACCTTCAGGGAAAAAAACCTCCAAACCCAAAGGTTTCTCCCTGTTTGGCTGGAAAAGTAGTGGGAAGCATCCTCGGCAATTTTTCTCTCCTTTCCACCTCTTCCCCTCCAAATCCACTAACCTGCTTCCCACCGCCCTTTCCCCACAATCCCTAGATCCCTCAAGACCCGAGAAGCGAGAAATCAAATGTCCGACTCCCGGCTGTGATGGGACCGGCCATGTCACGGGACTCTACCCTCACCATCGCAGCCTCTCTGGTTGTCCGCACAAAGACAGGATCCCTCCTGAGAGTGAGTACATGGTGGGATCACAAGGCTTGCTTAAATTAGTCTGAAGCCTTATTTCCTAGGGGGATTTTCACACCTGATGGGTAGAGCCCTCTCAAGGCCAATGAGCACTCCAAATAGTCCCAAATGATGTGAATTTTATGACCAAGTCCCTAGCGCAAGCCTGATGTTAGTCCTTGGCATATAATGGAGTTTCTGGTATGGGATGGTGCTTTTCCAAGTTGTTCTGGGATGCCCCTATCCACCAAAGTGCTATCGCTCTTCATGGGAAATGCTATGGAGATTACGAGGAAGTCCTACCCTTCTTAAAGATTTTTAGCACCATCCTGTGGAGAATGAGGTCCCTTCTCTGAAAATCAAGAGGTGTTTTAAAATGATGCCCGCCTCCAGAGGTGTGTTAAGCCGTTCCCATCTTTACATTGAATGTCACATATTTTTCTTTATTTGGGATATCACATTGGGAAGAAGGGGAAATTCTTCTTTCCTGCTGTCCAAATGTGCTGAAGGTGTTGCTGTACAGCAAAGGAGAGGAGTCATTCGGGACATGCAGGATAGCTGAATTTCCTCCTATACTGTCATTGCTGTAAAATTCACAAGGTGCTATACTGAGATTCATCTATTCCACAGAAAATATTTATCATCTTCATAACAGATTTTTATATACATATACACACATATATAGAGATATTTTATTTCTACCTCTCTATCAGCATCCTAAATAGCTTTCCCTGTGCATAAACATAAAAATCAATGTTGTATGTTTATGATAATGGCATAAGAGACAAAAAAAAAAAAAAAGGAACCCTTCCTTATCAGTAATTTCAAAGGTTACAGACCTGCCATAAACACAGAACTGCAGCAAATAAGGAGAAAGTACAGCTATCTTCGCACAAGCTTGAATGCAAGAAAAAAATATTAATAAATAACTAACACAAGCTGTGTACTTTAGAAAAGCTTGCAAATCAAATTATTTTCTTTACTTTTAAGGTCAGTGCTTCAGGAAGCAATAATCCTGAAGATTAAAATTAACAACAACAAAAAAAAAAAATCAAACAAAGACTAGTTCTAAGGATAAAAGCAGAGATAAAACTTCAATCACTTAAAACTACCTGAAATTGGGAGACCTGGCTCCAAAACAGCGGTGGGCGGGAGGGGCTGGATGGGGGAAACCAGATTGCAATCAGCAAACGAGGAGAAAGCCCAAGCTGTGTGCAGAGATGCTAATCTAGTGCTGACCTGAGCACTGCTGCCTTGTAAATCTTTTTTTCTCTACACAGATGAATTCTAATTACAGCATTTCACGTTCCCTGATTTCTAGGAAACCAGCGTACAAGACTTGATGATTTTGTCTTTTTTTTTTTTTTTTTTTTTTCCTCTGATTTTTATCAAGTTGTTTTTGCTTCCCTTCCCCTCTCCCCTTCCCCTTCTCGCTCTGAAGTCTTGGCGATGCACGAGAACGTGTTGAAATGCCCCACGCCAGGCTGCACAGGACAGGGTCACGTCAACAGCAACCGCAACACGCACAGGAGGTACCAGCTTTGACTTCTCCGTAACAGCCAGGGCAAGGGTAGCAGCAGGGCAACCATTCCCAAAAGCCTTGCCTTTCCCTTTGTACTGAGAGATGGTGCAACTCAGATGGGCAAAGTAGGGATGACCCTAAGACAAAGATTAATGTGAGAAAGCAAGACGGGGCAGTGATTTCTAGCTGGGCAAGAGAGCAGAGCAACGCTTCCTGGCTCGCAGGTGGGACTATGGAGGGGTAGGTGCAGGTGGGGGTTCGTGGAAGAGGGGCTTGGCGCTATGGAAGCAGAGGGAGCCTGGTGAGGCTGACTGGAAGGTGATGTTCATGTGTGTTGGTGTGGCTGAATTTCTAGGTATTTCCACAATATTTAGGCTGAAATCAGTCCGCAATATTGATGAGCTGGGAATTCAGGTCCTCTTGCTGTAGGACCTCAGCCCAGATGTGCTCAGGAGGGGACGGGGTTGCACTTTGGGATCTGTAACTATACCCCATGTTCTGGCTTCAGTTAATCTTGAGCACTTCTATAAACAGGAAGGCTGCAAGCGGAGGGGATGGTTGCACTTAAAAGCTAGAAACCTTCCAAAAAGCCAGACTAGCTTGTGCTACAGGGATGCCCTCATGAATTTATGATTTACCATTCGTTGCACTTGAGCTTAATTGGCCGAGAGTGACGGCTCTGCTCATGTCGATGCGTTTGCAGGCACGAGGTGCGTTTGTGTCGTTACTCCTTCAGCCATGGAGGAGGCTGGTGGATGTTTCGTTTTAGCCGTAGCTCCTAGAGGAAAATTAGGGAAATCTGCTTGGTTAATTGAGAAGCTTGGCTTGGTGCAGGCAGCAAGCAATTGCAGTGAGATCAAGGTGATCCATTGGTGTTAGTGGGTTATGGAATGAGCTTTGGGCACAGCGGTTTGGGCTGAGACCTGGTGGGGTCAGGGCCCTGAATTTCACATGGGGCTGGGCTGGGGTTCCCTCGGTGCTGGCTGCTCTGGTGATGAAGGTGCCAGTGATGGTTTGGAGTTGGCTGGGAGCATGCGGGCTGTGCTTGTGAGGGCTTTTTACCTTCCCTGAGCAATCACCGTAAGAGTCGAGCTGTCCGAAAGAGGCAGAGCCAGGCTCATGCGCAGGGCATGTGTGAGCAAAAGCCATTACAGCCCCCGACCTCCCCCAGGCACTGACACGCTGGCAGCCGTGCACATCAGAAGTGCAAATGTTTCCCCGCAAGAGCCCCTCAGAAGGCTTCCTTCAAACAGCCCCTGCAAAAGATCCAAATAAATACAAATCAAAAATGCCATTTAACTGCTAAAAGCACTCAAAGAAACCAGCCCGTCCCTTTCTGCCCCTGCTGTGCTCAGCCCCGGTGAGCTGCCTTCTTGATCCACCGCCGGGCCCTGGGGATGCTCCAGGGCTCATCCTGGAGAGATTTGGCACTTGATGGTTGGCTGCTTTGCTGCTTGCCAAGACTAAAAGCAAGCTAGGATAATGATAATAAAAAAAAAGGATTTAAATGCAAACACTTTTCTCATGGGCTCAGTGCAGCTCTGGGTCCCTGAAACAAAGATTTTCATGCTTGTCCCTCATGCTTGGTTACCTTCTCTTTTTTTTTTTTTTCTCCTTTAAAAAAAAACAAAAAACCCCAAAACAACACAGTTTATCTGGGTGCCCCATTGCTGCTGCTGAAAAATTAGCCAAATCGCATGAAAAGCAACAAACCCAGTCTGGTGATCCTTCGAAGACCAGCTCCAATTCTGACCGGATACTCAGGTAAATGGGACCGCGAAGCCCAGCGCCGCGTAACCACGCTGCCCCAGCCCTCCCCACGATGCCACGTTCGCAAGAGCAGCCGTCACAGCTCCCTCCGGCTGTATCTTGATACTGCTGAGTCCTGTTATTATGATCATAGGTCTCGCCAAGGTGGGGAGATATTTAATTGATGATCCCAGAGAGGGCATTGAGGACAATGAATTGCTTCTGTAGCATCAATTAATGCTGAGGCTACAGGCCAAAGGGTTTTACCAGTGCAGCAGAAGGCATTTGTGCCGATTGCTCTGCAACGCAAACTGCCAGAGAATGATGGCTATTATATTAGCATTATAAGTAGGGTGGGCTCAGGGAGGCGGGGGAGGAGATTTAGGCTACATATAAATCACTCAATGGCAGTTTTGCGTAAGTTCACCCGCTTTTCTTCCTTAGCCCGCACGGTTCAGAGGAGAGAAACCTGCCACTCGTTTCCAAACCAGTAGCATTTATTTTGTTATTTCACCCGTCTCTATCTTCCTGAGAGAAAGGGCTGTCTCACATTAAGGATGTCCCTGATAGATGCTGGCTTCCGTAGCTGATGTGATTCATGAGGCTACAGATGGATTGTAATATGGTTAGTTATTTTGCAACGAGAGCAGGATAAAAACCGCAGTACGAGCCCTGAGCAGCACTCCCACAAAGGCAGCGAGGTCCGATTAATTTATTTATTTGCTCCCCAGGACAGCTGAGCACCCTGGTGCACCAACACTCGGTGCTTTGGAAGGGCCATTTAGGGCGATTACTTATTTATTTGCAGCGGAGCCCACGCCAGGTGCAGAGCGCTCTGAGCGCATCACGAGGATGGTCCATGCTCCAAGGAGCTCCCGCTCTGAGGACTTGCTGGTGGAAAGAGGTCACGGGAAGGAGAATAACAATAGGCCATTTATATACAATTTATATGCAAGACAAATTGATTCATGATAGGCAGCCCAGCAGAAGCGGGTCTTTAAGAGGGACTCTGCAGGCAGGGGAGAGACCCTTGGTGCTTTTGCAATGAATCCGCAGTGGGGAGTGGAGCTAAACTGGGGTCCTCACACCTTTGTGTGCCGTCATGGGTCCCATAGGCGAGTGATGCCCAAGTTTTTACCACTGCTGGAAAACTGCTGCCACACCACGGCAGCCTGCAAGTATATTGTTTTGCATGAGATCGACACCTCAGTGTTTTGCCTAAAAAGAGAAAAAGAGAAGAAAAAGGAAAAAAAAAGGGGAAAAATACAAAAAGGAATCTAAGAGACCCAAACCAGATGCAGACTTGCTGAGGGAGAGCAAAAGAGCTGTTGCTGCCTCCTCTTCCCCAGTAACCCCTTGGGGACAAGGTGCAGCTACGCGTCCCCGTCGTGTCCAGTCCCCTCCCAACAACCATCTTGTCAAGGAAAAGAGAAATCACTGCTGCTCTTTGTTTCATCCTCAGGCCTATGTGCTTTGTGAAGCAACTGGAGATCCCTCAGTATGGAAGCTACCGGCCCAACATGGTCCCAGCAACCCCCCGGGCCAACCTGGCCAAGGAGCTGGAGAAGTACTCCAAGGTCACCTTCGATTATGCAAGTTTTGATGCTCAGGTTTTTGGCAAACGCATGCTTGCCCCAAAGATTCAGACTAGCGAAACCTCACCTAAAGCCTTTAAATGTAAGTTGGGAGCAGGGATGGGCTGGGTTTTGCATTTTCTGCCTTTCTCGGCGTGTCGCGAGGCTGTTGGGATCGTGGCTTTGGGGTGATGGGAGACTGGATCCAGCTGAGTCACTGGATCCCTCCTGCTGCTGCGAAGCAGGGGGAGAAATGGGGATGGGGGAGGCGAAGATGGGTCCTGTGGCACGTACATGGTAGAGAGAGGAGCCCACGGCTGCCGGTAAAGCTTTGCTTGGGGGAGAGTCGCTTTGGCTTCGGCTTTGGGAAGAATTGCATCGAGTGGTGGGAACATTAATCTGAGAGATGTCTCTAGGTGGGATAAGTTACACAGTTGTCCTCAGTCGGTCCCCGCTGCTTTGCAGTTCATATCTATTGATCTGTCTTTCCTCATCTAGCTAAATGGATTATAGTTTTCTTCTCTTCCATCTTATATATGACCCACTCCGCCCATTTGTCTTCTCTGCTGTGCTCTGCTCTCCAGCTCTGCTACCTATTGATCACCCACCTCCTATCTCCCAGCTCTTTCCTACCGTAGCCACCCACCTCCGCTCTGTACCGAGGACCTTGCACTGGTTATGACACTGTGCAACGAAAGCGTGGGTGAAAATTAAATGGCTAAATAAACCCTCAGGGGCTGGGCTGTCAGGAGCAGGAGGGAATCTGCACGGGGAGCCAGCCGCCGCAGACTGATGTTAAGCCTCCTCCTTCCCTTTGACACCAAATGTGTACCTGAAGACATCTTTTTGAGGGGAAAAAAAAAAAAAAAAAAGATTTAGGAGCTCAGTTTGCAGAAGTCAGCAGCCTCAAGAGGGCTTTCTGTCTGGCTAATCCCACTTCCACAATCCTGTTTAATCCTGATGCAGCTGCTCTCTAAAAAGTGCTCGTACTTGAAAGCATCCCGGTTGTTGCACTACAATGGAAGCGCCCTTTATTACAGTACTAAATCTGTAAGGGATCAGACAATGAAATTGGATGGAGGCCAGAGAGCACAACTGCCACTGTCATCCTGGGTTAGGGCTGATGGAAAAGTAATTTGTTTCCCAGCACAAGTGATTCTCTTGCTGAATAGATTGTGTTATTTGCAATATTAGCAAAGAATTTTCAGGGTAATTGTACTGACAAAAATAATTCCAGCAGACCCACTAGGATAATCCTTTCTATTTTTTCTCATCACTTATTTTACTAATTTGCTGATTGCGAGTCTATTAGTGGTAGAAATACTTATGAAATGGAAAAGCATTGCTGAGCCTACGGTGTGAAAGTGAAATTGGCATCTCACGATCCTGGATATTGTCAGGTTGGGCTGGCAAATACCCACACCCCGCCGCAAAGACATGGATTAAACCGGACTCGAAAACAAGCAGCCATACACAAGAATAACCATTTGGGCAAACCTCCAGTGAGTTAATCAAAGCGACAAGATGAATATGATTGCCAATCATAGCAGGGAAATCTGTTCCTTTCACTGAGAACTTATTTTAAAGAGATCTTCATCCAGAGGGATTTATATTCCACTGCATGTGTGTGCATAACTCCCATTAATGTCAATATGCATTATATACGCACACAACAAGGAAGAAAGCAGTCCTCGGGAAGATTAGCATTTTATAGTGTCTTATATTACGAGTTTGTACTGGGAATAATGAAATCGCTTTGCTCTGTAGCTGCATCAACCAAGGTTGTGTTGCTGCTTCGCCATCATCGGGCCAAAGCTCACCAGTCTTCCCTGGGTGAGACTCCCACTAAAGGGCGAAAGGGCATAGTGAAATGAATTAAGAATTTGAAGATTTTGCTAATTGATTCAGAATACAATCCTGTGACTGCTGAAAATCAGATGATCCCCTGTTTGCAACCCTGGAAACTACTGACTTCAGAGGGGCTCTGTGTGGGTCAGGGCCCTCCTAAACAGGTCCAAGGTCAAGGTTAGGGCAAGTTTTATTGTGGATTAGCCCTGGGAAATACTCGCTTTCGTTTCACAGGGTGTAAAGAGAGCTTGCATTGCCAGGGTTGCACTGCTGCGTGCCGTGACATACAGTAACAGTGTGGTGTCGCGGCCGCGTGTGGCGGTGTAATAAATCCTGTTATTCAGGCATCTTTAAATGATATGTCAGCTGTCAGAAAATCCATATTTCACTGGTGTCATCACCAGAAGCTTGTATTTCATGGCCATGCTTTTGTTATTAATGTAATTTTATTAAAATGTAAGTTTTCAAACGTGCTACAAGAAATCTCCCCGTAAGTCAGCTCTGCAGATAAGTTATGAACAACAAAAAAAGAGCCACGAAGCTTCTCTAAGCTTTCTCCTTTGACTGCTTCCACGAGGAGCAGCTTTAATGAAGAAAAGCATTCATGTTTTGGGGACTTGATGGCAGAGTCAGTTAATGAATTAAGTTTTCACACCGAGAGACCATTGCACAAGTCGCAGCCAGCACTGCTCCTATTGCACATCCCCAGCACCGAAATAGCCCGTGGCTTGGTAGTAACCACAGGTTTGCCCCTGGAACTGCTAATACGTTAGCCATGTCAGACTGACTTAACCTCTCACCGGTGCCTGTGCCGGTTATACATTAACCTCGTGTTGTTCTTTCTCTTTTTATTTCAGCCAAACCTTTTCCAAAGGCCTCTTCCCCCAGCCACAGCCCCTCCAGCAGTTACGTGAAGAGCACTTCATCTTCCTCCACAGGCTTCGACTACTCCCACGACGCCGAGGCTGCGCACATGGCTGCCACTGCCATCCTCAACCTCTCCACGCGCTGCTGGGAAATGCCGGAGAATCTCAGCACGAAGCAACAAGAGGCCCCCGGCAAGGTGAGCCGAGCATACCCATGGACCGCCGCATCACCACGCAGCAGAGGGGGTTAAAACTTGAAGTTTGGGATGGGAGAAATACCTTGGTTTTACCCTTCCTTTCATTTTAATCTTTAAATATAGAGGGAATGCAGAGACTCATCACATACCACCCTTTTGCTCGCTGCTTTGGGTGACGCAGTTTGGAGGAGGCAATCTTGGCTCTTAGTGTGTTATGGAGATGCATCATGGTTCAAATTACCCATCTCAGATGAGCATTATTCCCAAGCAGAGTCTCAGGGCTGGTTTCAGTTGCTCACTGATCTGTATCTGATGCCATTTGAGATTCCCCAGTTGCGTCCAGGCTGACCTCCAGCTATTTTTCAGAGGAACACAGGTTTTCCAGAAGTCCCATGGTGCATCCCCCAGCCTTGGGTAGATGTTTTGGATGCCATGGGGCATCTTACATGGCACTAGATGCCTGTGTTCAAGCAACTGAGTCAAAATGCCACATTACTGATAGTAGAGGAGAGCATTTGCATGGCATGTTTCTGAAAATATTTATGAAAAAGTATCCCTTTTATTCAGTTCCTTCTAACTGACTGGAGCAGGTCCAGAGGAGGGACACAAAAATGCCCCGAGGGCTGGAGAACCTCTCCTACGAGGCCAGGCTGGGGGAGCTGGGGGTGCTCAGCCTGGAGAGGAGGGGGCTGCGGGGAGACCTTAGTGCAGCCTGGCAGTGCTGAAAGGGGGCCTACAGGAAGGATGGGGGCAAGCTTTTTAGCAAGGCCTGTTGTGACAGGACAAGGAGTAATGGCTTTAAACAAAAGGAGGGGAGATTTAGGCTGGATATAAGGAAGAAATTTTTTACAAAGAGGGTGGTGAAGCACTGGAAGGGGTTGCCCAGAGAGGCGGTGGAGGCCTCATCCCTGGGAACATCCCAGGCCAGGTTGGCCGGGGCTCTGAGCACCCTGGGCTGGTTAAAGCTGTCCCTGGCACTGCAGGGGCTGGGCTGGGTGGGCTCTAAAGGTCCCTTCCCACCCAAAGCGTTCTGTGATTCTATGGCTGTGGAGAGGATGGGACATGAATAACCTGTCCCCTGCACTGCAAAAGACAATTGGGAGCAAGATGCCCACAGGGAATTGCTGGCAGCTGCTAACGTTGGGCATGTTTCAAACCTTTCAGTCCATGGACATTGAGGTGGATGAAAATGGGACTCTGGACTTGAGTATGAACAAGCACCGCAAACGGGAGAGCACCTTTCCCAGCAGCAGCAGCTGCAGCAGTAGCCCCAGCATGAAGTCCCCAGATGTGTCCCAGCGCCAAAACAGCACCAGTGCCACAAGCAGCACTATGACCTCCCCCCAGTCCAGCCAGACCTCCCGTCAGGATGAATGGGATGGGCCCATTGACTACACTAAACCAAACCGTCAGCGGGAAGAGGAGCCAGAAGAGGTGAGCGGTGACTCTTGATGCTTAAATAACACCTCATGGGGGATTGAATGCCATGTTTACTTGCACAGTTGTCCTATTTCCCCCCAGAACCCCTAGTTTGCCCTTTGAGCCTAGAAGTATTATTAGCTTTGTCACTGTCACCAGCCACCAGCTGTGGACAATCAGGCAGGAGGCAGATGCTCTTGGATCTGTTGGGGTGCTCTTGCCAAGGAAGAACCCACCACTTGCATTGCCCTGGGTCTGCAGTGCTTTCTTCGTTGTAAATCCTTTCACCTCATTTGCACCAGTGGCACTCCTCGTGACGTTCCCCAGGATGATTTATTTCTGCCATTAGCAGATATGGCCCTGTGTGCCACTGAACAGTAATCCTTCCAGGTGGGGGAGCCCAGCCATTACCTCCTGGCTGGGGTGAGCATCCTGGCCCTCCAGCAGCACACTGCTGCTCTGCCCGTGGGGAGGCAGGTGCTGCTGAGGATGAGTATGGGGGGATTGCACTGATCTGCATCCCTTCAAGACCTTGGGAGAGCCAGGCGTAAATCCCTGTACAGATGTGTTTTACACATTTCTCCTAGAAAAAGGGGAAATTGCAGGCGATTTGATCTCTGGTTTGGGTACTTCAAGGCACTTGCAAAGGGTTCAGGAGTGTTGGCAATGCTGCAGTAACTGGGATGAACCTGGGATCCTTTCCCACCACAGCTCAGCATCAATGACCGCCACTACAACCACTTTTCCTGGCTGTTTTCTTGCAGTCAGAGCCTGCTGCTCACTCTTTTGCCTCCTCGGAAGCTGATGAACAGGAAGTGTCAGAGGAAAACTTTGAAGAACGAAAATACCCAGGGGAAGTTACTTTAACCAACTTCAAGCTTAAATTCCTCTCCAAGGACATCAAGAAAGAGCTGCTCACGTAAGTCCTGCCTTCTTGTCTCTTCCTCCAAAATGTGTAAAATATGTACGCAGGACAGCCAGGCTGGTAGGAGACACAATTTGTTAGCAAACACATTTTAAAAATTAGGTAGTTCCCTTTCTTACTGTGATTGGTCTTATCTCATCTAAGCAGTTCAAATGAAAGCTCAAAGAGAAACCCTATCCTCATGCAACTGCTGATCAGTGAGGCATATGGCCTTGAAACTCTGCAGTGATGAAAGGGTCTTTCTGGGGAGCTCGGTGCTCTCAGGATTCACAGATGTGCATGTGGAAACCTCCTTGCAGGGCCTGTTTTCTCTGGTGGTTTCCTGCAAGACTGTTTCTGGCACAGTGATGGAGCCTGCCCAATCTCCTGCTCCCTTGTTTTGGGACACTGGGTGATGCTGTGGAGCCAAGAGCACCCAAGGGATCTCAGTACCTTCTCAATGGGGGTGTTGAACCACAAGGTGCCTTGTTGGGAAGACAGGACTTGTTGGCTGTTTAACGTAGAGCAATGAGTCCCATCACTGTGATGCTGCAGGGCCACGAAATACGAACTAGGGCTACAGCAAGATTGCATCTTATATTGGAGAGAGATCTTAACCAAACTCACATCTGCGTATTAATGGCATTGGGTGGGTGGAAATACAGACCCAGGTCTATTCTTTCAGATGGAGTATTGCTCTGCATCCACACTGATCCCCCAAACTAGCGGGTAATGTTTAGAGCCTGACCCAAATGCTGCAGCTTGGACCTGGCCCCGATCTAATGGCAGGCTGGGATCAGTCTGGAGGTTGTGATGGGGAGGTCTCACCTCCCAGGCATCCCAGCAGATCTGCTGCGCTTGGGGCTCTTTCCTGTGCATCTGACCTTCCCGTAAGTTAAACAGGGAAGAGCTGGCGGGAATTTTGCTGACCTTACGCAATGTAGCTCGTTATTTGGCTACGCAAGCAGGAGGCCGAGGGAGCAGACAGGCAGGGAGGAGATCCATGAGGGCAGAGCAGCAGCAGCAGCGCCTTCCCTGAATGAGCAAAGCGCAGACCAGCCGCCCTACGCAAGCTCTAAAGGCTTTGTTAAAACCCAGCAGCAATGTGAATAGCAATTTCTGAGGTAGAGCCCTGAAGTCCTCCTGTGGTATAATTGTATTATGAGGGTAGAGAAATTTCCTAAATGGAAACAACCCTGGAATAAATAAATGGTGTTGTGGGCAGCCCTGAGCCTTCTCTCCCCATTTAGCATCCTTGTTCCTTTCTGGCCCCGGGGCTGTAATGAATTAGCTGTAGTTAACTCAGGAGCAGACTTGCCCTCTGTGTCTGTTTGATGCTCTGTGTCTGGGTGCAGCTCTTGGGCCATCTCCAGGCACTGATGGCAGTCGCTATGAAGGTGCTCCTCACCTCTCTCTTCTCGCTGCCCTGCTGTCGGCACACGAGCGGGTACCACGTAGCAATACATCACTGCTGCTTGAACATCTTCCTATCAGTGCTGGCTCCAGGGCTCACTGTGTTTGTGTGCTCTTGTGGCTGTGAAAAGGACTCAAGGGTGAGCAGGGAATAGCTGCATCCCCAAGACTCAACCTGCCAGGCCAAACTGTCCCCGGACATCCCCGTGCTGTCCCCGGACATCCCCGTGCTGTCCCAGGACATCCCTGCTCTCTCTGGCCTCAGGCAGGCAGGGCACGACTGTGCCAGAGCCTCACTGCTCATGCACAAACTGGATTTTATTCCCTGGACACCGAGAAGGGATGACACCTTTTTCCATTGCCAGCACAAGTGCAATTCTCTGGCGAGGCAGTGGAGAGGGACGGGTGGGAAACGCAGCCCGGCAAAGGCAGTAGGTGGGATGCGGCAGCTTCTGCCTGTCCTCAGCTTAGGAGCTCCCAGGCACATGAGTCAGAGGTTACTTTTATTCCCTTTCTGGAGCGAACAGTGTTTTCAAGCTTTTCTTTGCAGCTATACAGGCTGAAAAAAAGAAATCATTTTAGAAAGCTGAAATCTGCTGCTTTCAGGGAATAAGCCGAGTCCTGCAGCCAGAGCTTTAGTATTGCAAAACCCATCCAAATTGGCAGCACTGAGGCAGTGGTGTTCATGCCTGTTCCTTCATGCCACCCAGCAGGCTGCTTAAGACTTCCACTGCCACTGAGCAAGCCAAGCAACTAAGTATTTTGAGCACTTTCTTCACATTTGCTACGAATTTTTTCAAGTTTTTCAAATTTTTTTCAGGATCCTTGTGATCTTTGGGGAACAAAAAAGGGAGGAAGGGGAGCTGAAAGGGAAACAGCTGGTTCATTTGCATGCAACCATATAAACACACGGCGAGGTCCGATGGAAGGAGCCGGTGGAAGGGGTCTGGCACTGGGGCTGGGCTGAGCCTCCCTGCAGACAGACCCTGTGGAGGGCTCAGCTGGTTTTGCAGATCCGTGGCTCTCGGGTGAATTCCTGCTTTTCCAGCACTTACACTCGCTGTTGTTGTTGCCCAGTTGCCCAACCCCAGGCTGTGACGGCAGCGGACACATAACGGGAAACTATGCCTCTCACCGCAGGTGGGTTGACCTTTTTCTCATGGTTCGGACTCTAAAGACAACTTTTCTTTTCTTTTAGTATATTTTTTGACCATGTGGATAGTTTGGTTCTGTTTCCTCCCAACCTCTGACCTTCTGTTGCCCCTCTCCCTCACCCCCCTACCCTGGCCCTTTTTCTTTTTCCTTTTTTCCTTTTTTTTTTTTTTTTTTTTTTTTTTTGCTTATCCAGATATTCCATCTCTTCTCTTTCAGCCTTTCTGGTTGTCCTCTTGCTGACAAGAGCCTCAGAAACCTCATGGCTGCCCACTCTGCTGACCTCAAGTATGTTTGCGCTCAACTTGGAACTCCTTTTTTTTCCTTTTTTTTCTACCCTTTTTTCTCTCTTCCCCCTCCCTGCCCTGCTCTGCTTTTGCTTTTCCATCCCCTCCCTTCTCCTTTCAAAGAGCCGATCAAAATCCACCTGCGAGGAGCTCTGGTGGAGCCCAGCCTCCAGCTGCTGCATTGGGAAGAGTCAGCATCACGGAGCAAGGCTTATTTTGGGGAGGTGGGGACCACGACAGTGATCAGAAATAATCTGGACCCCTGGAAGGTTTCCTTTGGGCACTGTAGACATGTGCTATTTTCTTTTTCATTTCACGTCTTTTCCCAAGCTCTTGTTTCCCTAGTTTGTGCCATAACCCTGTTCATTCAGCATTTTTGTATGGCTCTCAAATAATCCAAAGCCTAGATAAAGGCACACGCTTTATTTTTGAGTAGAGACACAGCTGGCAAAATACCACCAGGACATAGTGAAAAGAAGCCAACTCTTTTGGAGAACCTAGGATGCTAATTTTATGGTGAATTTTAGGCGTTGTTTGGAATGCAGTGACAGAGGTTCCTATTCATTTCCGTGGGAGTTTGATTTGCAAGGGAATGAAAGAGAGAGCAAGCAAACACTTGGTGAGGCCAGATCCTGAGCCAGCGGCAAAGGGCTCACAGGCACACGAATTTCTTTGTTCCCATTTCTGCTCCTGATGGGAGGAACCCGGTCTTCATATTTTCATTCAAATATCTTCCTCTGAATCCTGTTTTCAGCTTTGCTGCTGTCTTCCCAAAGCTCCTCATTTTCACTAGGAGCTTATTTTTCACAAGAGGGTTTCCTAAATTCTCTCTTAGGTTGCCTCCCCTGAAGACAGGTTTAATAGAAATGGTATTTAAAATAGATGGAGACACTGGGAGGACCTGAACCCTCCTCCATCCAACCTACATCTCTGGGGAAAAGCTAATTGTGAATTTTTTTCCATGGAGCTGGCCTATTTTTGGAGGCCAATTCTTCTCTGAGCTCCCTGCTTTGCTGAATCCACTTTCAGGATTATTTAGACACTGAGATATTCATAACTATAACTGAAGAGCCTCTACCGAGAGTAAAACCTCATGGGGGACTTCACATTGCAAAGGCTCATCATAAAAAAAAATAAAAAAGTCCTGTGTCCTGTATGCAATCAGTGATGTTTGGAGCCATGGTAAGAACAGTCAAGTCAGATGGAAGCCCCTTTGGTCATTAAGGTAGTCAGTAAAGCCCCAAATCCCTTTTTGGTGGCCTGGAGGGCAGTGTGGGTCCGGGACTGCTCTGCACCCCGCCGCCGATGGTGCTGGTGCCAGGAAAAATGTTTGTTAACTGCCTGCTCCTTATCACAGAGGAGGAGAAAAGTAGCTGGATTAGTTGATATTAATAGAATATGCTAGTGGAGGGAAAGGACTCGCATGATTAGCGCTAAGTACACTTAATCATGCATTATAGACGATATACATTTTGAGAGAACCTCTTAAGAGAGCTTTGCTGAACTGGTGTTTCTCCAACAGCCTTAAAGAATAGCCCAGTGATCAGGCAATTAGCATTAAATGTATTGAAAGCTCTCAGGAACAGTGCCCATTTCCAGTAAGGGCCCGGAGAAAAAGCAAACAGGGTCATCCCTGAGACCAGGGATCGCGCCGAGCCTTGCTGTGCAGCATCCCCTGCTCCCCTTGGGCATCCGATGTCAGCGCTTTTCATCAAAATACACAATATATATAAACCAGGAGACTTCTGGCCAAAACAAAGCTTTTTAGTGTTATTTCCCAAATACTGCTTTTTTTTTTCTTCTGTGTCCTGGTGAGGATGGGAGCAGAGGAGGGAGAAAGAGAAGAGGATTTGGAGATATTACAGATAGCGCAGTCATCACTTTCCACAACTTCAGATAAGGCCATGTCAGTATTTCTATTATAAATTCTATTTCAGGGGTTAATATCCCCAATACAAAAAAAAAATAGCTCTAGGCTGGAACATGTAATAAAAGGTCTCTGTCAGTATGATTTGTCTCCAGATAATTAAAAATAAAACTCAAATCACTTCTCTCCCTGTTTTAAAAGTCCTGAAAGGCAAAAGGAGTTCGGTGTTAGTGTTTTCATAATTTCATCCCACCCTGAAGCTAGAACAACAAAGAAATAGTTTTGCTTTCTATTTTAACAGCGTGTAACAGGGAAATGTCACAGTCATCTCCTAATCCTGTCATTTCTAACTGAGCTGGAGAATTTGCACCCTCCTTGGGGTCCTGCTGGATGTGTCCCTTCTCTTACTGCACCAGACCTATGTGCATTTATGTTTTCCTGGGTCTGAGCAGGCCAAGCCTTGGTCCTGACTTAGTCTCCCTGTCACCCTTCTGGGACCAGGATGTGTCCCTGCTCTCCCTCCCTAGGTGAGGTGGCAATTTTTTTCGCCAATGGAGACTCTTCAATGACCCACAAATGCCAAACCCTCCCTCAGAGCTGGTGCAAAGAGGAGAATTTTGATATTTTCTAACAAACATAAAAGAGGACTTTTTAAAAGGCTGTTTTCCAAGCTGCAGATATAAAGGCATCTGTGGAAATCATTGCTCTGTTGACTCTCAGGGGCCAGAGAGCATCCCAACTATACCGTTGCCTAGGTCAGGCATGAGCTTGCCCAAAGGCAGTGGCCTCGGGGGCTGCCCATGCACCGTCATGTGTTGCCCATCAGTTCACTGCAGTGTCCTGGAGACGCATTGGTCTCTGCTCTGCGGTGGGCTACCAACCAGTGCTACCAAACCAGGCACCGGTGGCTTTAAAAATGGGGATTGAGAAAGTGGGGGCACAGCAAAATCCTCCCTCGAAGAGAAAAGGCACTCTGCAAGCTGGTGGGCATACCGTCAGCTTTGCTCGCTCCGGCTCAGAAGCCAGCAGCTGAGCCCCCCCTGCTTGTCCCGCGGCAGCACCATGGATTTCCTCCCCCGGTACTAATCACTTGACTCACACAGCCCTGGCTAATTGGCAGACTGGCAGGCACATTCTCGGCGAGCACTCCTCGCCTCTCTTCCTTGTCCCCATGACAACTTTTATGTCTGCCGAGTCACCTACAGCATTTGGAGCAGATCTTTGTGCTCGTGGTACTTCATATCCCCTCACCTTTCTCGCTTCTGCGCCCTTAATGATGCGGTGCTTAACTCGTGCCATTCTCTTCGTTGCCGCTCGGTAGGTCTTGCAGCCCCTGCTAGCCTTTGTGCAGGTTTGTGTGATCACACAACTATTCTTCAGGCTTTGCTTTCAGTCACCTCCTGGAGTGCTGGATGCTTACCTTCAAACCCATGATCATGGCTGCATCTTCAAAGACCCCTTTATAATGGCAGCAGCTGAGGACCGAGGGGCAGGTTTTGCACCGAAGCACCAAAAGCTGCTGGTGCACCGTGCGTGGTGACCTGGTGATCTCCAGCCCAAGGTCCCACAGGCAGCTGTCCCCTTGCAGACCCCCCTGTCCCTTGCCCATGGTGTTATGGATGGAGGAGACCCAAGGTTAACCTAACCTTTTCCCTCCTGTTCCTTCATTACTTGCCATCAGAGGCATCAAATGGTTTTGGACTCTGAGGACCCTCCTGGGGTGGGGTGTCTGCTTGCCCCCAGTGAGACTAGCCCCCACCAAACCACCCAGAACTCAGCTGAGGCCTTCTCTTGGGCTTCCCTTTGGTGTTGGCCAAGGTGGCCCCGGAGGAGAAAGTTTGATGGCCAAGTTGTCCAGAGTTGTAGGCTATTTAGGCTATATTCCTGGTCTCCTGTCTATGCTTGCATCCAGCCCAATGGCCCTGGATGTTACCTGCCACCTCCTTACATCTTGCTCAGGAAGACGGACGCTGTCCTGGAGGTCTTTTTTTGGCTTCTTTCTTATCATCTCCTGAGCTGTCCCCTTCATGATGGTGGGGACAGAGGCTGAGACCCACGTCCCTCCGCTGGAGAGCAGCTACCAGCCGCGCTCCCAACATCCCCACCTCTTCCCACTGATGCTCCTCTCCAGTGCCGACATCACGCAGCGATGCATTGACTTTGGTGTCATGGATATTACAGATCACACCTTGTTCTTACAGAGGCAGAAGGGGCAGGAAGAAAAACCTGCTTCTGTGTTGACAGTTCCTAGATTTCTCTTTGAAATGAGCTGTCACAAAGCGTCGATCCTCTGCTCGCATCCCCGGGCTAATCTGAGCATCCCTTTCCTCCGCAGGTGCCCTACTCCTGGTTGTGATGGCTCTGGTCACATAACAGGAAATTATGCATCGCATAGAAGGTAAGATCTCCCTTAAATTATTTTCTCTGTAGCTTCTTTCTGGGTTTTTTTTGTTGTGTTTTTTTTTTTTTTTTTCTCCCCTGCAGTGGGCAGAGTTGTAAAGTTCTGAATAAAACATTAATGTTACTGACAACTGAAGCTTATTTTCATCTCTTTAATCTGACTTCTCTTTTTTTTTTTTTTTTCTGATGTTTCCAGCATCTGATTAGAAGCTCCCTTCAACAGAATAAAAGACAAAGGGTCAGATTTTAGCTGATGCAATGTTCCTGTTAATAATGCTACCTATTTATGACTTCTATTATCACTTTAGAGCATTAATAGCAGAGAGCTGGGCCTTCTGTTTCAACAATTCCATTAAACATCGCAGGCTGTTAGCAGATATCTTCTTATCTAGACACCATTAATTACTGTCCATCTCCCTCAATTTTTTATTATATTTTTTTTTCCTCCTGACTTCTCCTCGTGATGTGAAGCTGCAAAACGAGAGAGATCAAAAACACTGTGCGAAATTCAAGGGAAAGATGACTGAAGCAGGGGAATAGCAAATGCAGTGATTCTGCCAGTGAGACAGGCCTTTCTTCTCTTTTTAACCACAGTCTGTCAGGCTGCCCTCGTGCCAAGAAAAGTGGGATCAAGATCACCCCGACAAAGGATGATAAAGAAGACCCAGAGCTGATGAAGTAAGTCTGGAGAAAACTCCCAAGTGGCCCCTTTCACTCGATCCCCCTTGCCTTGCACAGATTTACGTGGGGAGCAGCATCCATCCCGCATCCCCCCTTGCTTGTGCTGCTGGGAGCATCGTCTGCCCACGCTGGCGCGGGTGCTGCCAAAGCTCTCCTGCTGCTTTCCGGGGAATTTTTCCCTGATCCCCAAAATGGTGATGTAATTTTGAACTTTGATTGGAAAACTGGGTCATGGGGAGGTAATGGTGTATTTTTTTATTTGTTTTTGCAGATGTGAAAGGTAGGCTGGTAGGGCACGAACAGTTCCTCTCCTGCCTGTGCTTTATATAATTCCCAAAAAAAACCCACCAGTGTTGTAAATGAGGGTAAAACCCCACAGTCAAGCAAAATGTTGCAGGTTTTCAGGCAGTAATGGGCAGGCGAGGGGTGCTGGAGGGCTCCCTTAACTCCCAGGAACGTGGTAGAAATAGAAGCAATCCAGTACTGAGTTGGGTCAGGATCCAGTTACCCCGAATAAGACGCGTTTTGTCGAGTCTTTGCCATGGCTGAATATTCAAAGTGAACAGAAAAAGCCTTTTTCTGCTGCCTCGGGCTGAATTTTTCAAAACATCCCAGGGGTTTTATTCCTACTGGGAACAGGGATTTTAAACCTCTTGGCCTGCTTCAGGAGCTTTCATTTGCTGTGAAATCCATTTGTCCTGACTTTGAGCAAGCCCGAGCACCGCGGGCTCGGCGCCCAGGGCCTGACGCGAGGTTCGGGGTCCGTGCCTCAACCCCTCACGCAGCTACAGGGCGCCAAAGCCTTTACAGCAGGGCTGGGGCAAGCACTGACTCCAACATCCTATTTTTTGTTAACCCAGAGCATCCCCAGCCTTTCTGGAGCCTGTCCGCTCACCCAGCAAGTGCAGGTGGGGGGCGTGAAAAAGAAACATGGAAAAACTTATCAACCCCCTGCAAGACTTTCTGGATGCCCATGAACGCTGGGATTTCTGGCCAAACCCCTTTGGCTCAGCAGACTGGCCCCAAATGTATCTTTTTTTCCCCCATTTTAGCCCTAGGGCATGTCTTGCCCTTGCAGAAGGGCAGAGGTGAATACCTCCGTGTACCCAGGTTTTGCCCTGGAGCAGAGGCTGAGCCGGAGCGGGAACCGGTGGGTGCGGAAGAGCCCCGCGGGGGCTGCGGGAAACCGGGATGCGCGAGCTGGGGGAAGGACCTTTAAGGAAGAGATGATATTTGAGCCATCTGCTCTGTTCTTACTCCTCAGTCTACAGGAAGGAAAGCCTCCCAGTTAAATGAACCATGTGATAATTAGCAGGAGTTAGCGGAGTTTATTAAAAATTAAGCAACCTACTCAAGAATCTGTGGGGAAAAAAGCCTTTTTTGGCTCAAATACACTAAATTGCTGGCGGCATTGTAATGCTGTGCCATTAACCAGTGACACAGTGAAGGAAAGGACAAGCAGCAAATGCTGTCGTGCAACTTGCGCGTTTGCTTCTCTTACCGCAGTTGGAGGACCCGCTCGGGACGCCGTCCCTCTCCATGTTTTCCCCAGGGACACGTGCCCTGCGGGGCTGGGAAGCCGTGGCTTTGCTCTTCCTTGCCTGCCCCGTTCGGGGCTGGGACCGGTTCGGGATGTGCCAAGCAGCTCCCTGAGTGCAGTTTCTCTGCAAAGAGAAACTTCCCAGCGCAAGGAGGAAGGGGCTTTTATACGGCTGTTTTGTTATGGTGCAGCTGGCGCTTCTGTAGGAACACGGGACGAGCTGTCAGGGCATCCCCAACCATGGTCCCCCCCCTGCACCCCCACCAAGGGTTGGGTCTCTCCTAGTCCACCCTAAAGGTGCAAACGCTGGGAAGCTAAAGTGGCAAGAAATGGGGTTGGAGCATCACCAGAGCTGGGATTTTCTGACCTCTAGAAAGCTGATGCCGTCCACCCCCGGGCTGGCCTTGGAGGCTGTTGAGGCTCCGCTGCTCGCTCGGCAGCGGGACTGCGGGTGCAGGCAGTGCCGGGTGGGCACGGGGGTCTCCGTGGCACGAGGGCACGAAGGCATCCCCCGACGTCCCGTGGTTCAGGCAGCAACCCCCGCTCCCCCAGTACGCGCAAGGAGGAGCAGAAGCTCCTCCGAGATGTGCAAAACAACACGGCGCAACGATCCCTTCGCTGCCGCCTTCCCCCAGCCCCTGGAAAGCTCACGTTCTGCCTCCCGCAGCAAGGTGCGCCCGGCGCAGGTTTGCATCGAGGAGCTTTGGCTCTAAATCCTCCTCCGGCTGCTCCAAGCGCCACTTGGAACCCGGCCGAGTTTTGCACATCGCCACTGAGGAGAAAGTCATTTAGTCCCTGTTGTTTTTTTGCTGTTCATCCTTCAAGTAATTTGCTACAGACGTGATTGAACAGATCACCTCAACCTTCAGCTCAGCCCTGGCATAAAACAGAAGCATTCACGGCTGCCTAACTGATCAAACACTACTGGTGCTTCTGTTAAATAATAATAAATTAAAAAAAAAAAATTAAAAAATGTCCAAGCCAGCTGTTTTCTACAATAAGGGTCTAGTTTTTTTTTTAACAATGAAAATGTAATGAAAGTTAAATTAACAGCGTAAAATATGTAACGGTTGGGCCGTAACGACTGCATACTAAATGCCGGGGTTTGTCTCTTTCTCTCTGGTTCTTTTTTTTCCCCCCCTCTCCTTTTCCTCCTGAGGATTCAGTAATTTGCTCGTGATCATATAAAAGCAATGATGTTATGAATTTACTGAGGATCCTGCTGGCAGGGATATTATAAGTGAATTGTGCTGCATTTGCAGCTGATTAAAATCGAGATCAGCATTTTTCAAATTATCTTGGGAAAAGGCTGGGTGTACAGCTCCCCCCTTCTGCTGTCATCTCCCTTTTGTACGGAATATAAACAATCAGGGTAATCATTTCTGCAGTGAAACACAGCTTGCGATTTTCAGGAGCAGCTCAGCGGATATTTTGCTGGGGAAACTTAAGTCCCTAATTGCTTTCAGACTGAGGACACGGGGTTATTTTTGCCATTTCTTACCTACTTTTCCTTCCACCCCTCCTTTTTTAGAGTAACCTCCCTTGAGTAATAAACTTTTAACTGTATTTAAAATTCATGAGCATCTTTAAACAAACGCAAACCAGAGCAGAAACGTTAATAGATAAACCGGGCTTTGTCGAAGGGCTGAATTTAGTGAGTATGCCATTAGGCGGGGAGTTTGCGAGCAGGGAGGAATGAGGTGCCTTTTAGAGAGGCACTCATCCTCTGGGCAATTAGCACAAGTTCTGTCAGTGCTTCCGTGACGCCCCTTGCACCTCCTGTACGCTTTAACTGGCCGTAAATGGTGGCAGAAGCACCGGGGCAGGACAGCTCATGCGCTGCCTTGATGGTAATTCCCACTTTTATACCCTTGTGAGCGCAGGTTGATCTCTTTGTAGCCACGGGTATGAACCAGGAGGAGGAGAAGGCAAGCGAGGCCGTGCCGTGGCTGCAGGCTGAGCGGTGCCCCAGGGTTTATTTGTCGTGTCTGATGGGGTACGGGCTCAGAAACCCCTCGGACACCCTCCTTGCAGGAGCAGGTTTGCAGCTTTTCGGTGCACAGGCTGAAGCTTGACCAGCTCCCGGGTCAGGGGCCGGTTCACGAGGAAGGGTTGCGTCCCCATGGGCACAGCCAGTGGTCTTAGATTGCGTTGACCATGCTAGTGTGATAGAGTTGATGACCTGGGTTCCTCAGCAGAAACACCAGACAGAGCCAGCTGTAAATGCGTGATGGTTCAGTGAGAGCGTGTCAGCCTTGGGGTAATGTCAGGATCCCACGTCAGGCAGCCCCACCTGCCGTGTTTGCCCTCAATGAGGCACCAAGCACGTGGTTTGGGACACCATGGAACCTACTTTTGCTGCAAGTGTGAGTGTGATGTGACCTCCACAGTCTCTTGCAGGATTTACCTTGGTTCTCTTTGGCTCTTTTGAAGGGGCAGTCGTAGCTCTTAATTTCCCATCTGCCTTTTCTACCAACTAAGCACCTACCCCATAAAGTCTAGATGAGATCCCCAAATGCAAACACTCTCTTCCCAGTTTTCCTGCTCATCCCTAATTTCCTTATGTCCCTCTTCATTCCCGTGATGTAAATTTTGGTAATTCCCTGTGCCCAGGTGTCCTGTTCCTGGCTGTGTTGGGCTCGGACACATCAGTGGCAAATACGCCTCTCACCGGAGCGCATCAGGGTGCCCTCTCGCAGCCCGCAGGCAGAAAGAAGGATCGCTCAACGGCTCCTCGTTTTCCTGGAAGTCGTTGAAAAACGAAGGTCCAACCTGCCCCACCCCGGGTTGCGATGGCTCCGGCCATGCCAACGGGAGCTTCCTCACTCACAGAAGGTGAATCACAGGGTTGAAATCACCGGGAGCATGACAGCATTGCCATGGACTAGCCTACCTGCCTGCAGATGCTGCTTGAGCGTCGTTCACCTCTTCATGCAGAAGGCTCAACAGCTGGTGCTTTGGATGCTGACCTCACTCAGCTTGCTCCAGGGCTGGAGCTTTCTGCAAATGCGTAGTTGTTTTAATATTGCAATGGTGAGCTGTGGATTGGGCAAAATCATGAAAATTGGTAATATAATGTCCTTCTGTGAGCAAGCCAGAACAGGGCTTGGGCACCCCAAACCGGGGTTTTGACACCCAAACCAGCCAGAGTTGTCTCACCTCCCTCCCCTGTCATGCCCTCTCTTTTAGGAAACAATGTGGTTTTTAATCTCTACTCAGAGAAAATTGCTCTCACTTTATAAATGGGGAGTTTTGTGGCATTATTCATAAAGCAATTTCCTCTGTACCATAAAAAGCTTTTAGAAGAACTCTCTCGCAGCATGAACTCCACCAAATGGTACATGCTCTTGTTGGGAGCACAAGCCCCTATAAATACCGACAGTTTATGAAGCCCTTTTTTACTTGCTTTTCAGTTTGTCAGGGTGTCCAAGAGCTACTTTTGCTGGGAAGAAAGGAAAACTCTCAGGGGATGAAATTCTCAACACAAAGTTCAAGACCAGCGATGGTAAGGTTTTTCACTCCTTTTGCTTTGCAGGTGTGTCAGGGTATTGAGCCCGTGTATCTTTTTCTTTGCAGACTGGGGAAGTTTCAACACAGAAATCTGGCTTCAGATTTGCAAGCTTGTCATGTGCTATGAACACCCATTTCCTGGGTTGCCTGGGTGTTGGGGTGGTGTTGTACCGGCACCGCTCCCTGAGTGACACACTGGGAGGGAGCAGGTAAAATGATAAAGAAGGAGTTTCCATCATGAAATTCCAGGCAAAAAGAATTAATGCTGAAACTGAGATTTTTTTTTTTTAAATTTTTTCTTTAATATTCACTGGCATTTTTACAAATCACTTGCAGCCATTCAGCGATTTTCACCTATTCAGGGCTTTTAATCCTGCAGATATTTCTGGATCTGGAATTTTGTTAGCGATGGCACTTTGCATTTCCAGTGCTATTACTGAGGTTTCTGTGGTATTTGACAAGGTTCAGGCATTTGGCTTGAACAGTTGTATAGTTTGGAATCTATAAATACCTGCACTCTTCTAGAAATATTGCTTTATTTCATGAACCTCGTAATTTCTAATCAAGACATGCATTAGTTTTTTTTAAATAGCATCTTCCTAAACTCAGGACTGAGAGAGACTTGAGTTTTCAGGGCAATCAACCTTGCAGGGTGCATGGATGTGCTGGACTCCAATCACTATGCTGTCGCTGGCTTTTGCATTTACATATTGACCTATAAAGTATCATTGAACTGTGATGCTAAAAACCTTACTAAAAAAATAAAAATAAATATAAGCAAGTGAGATGTGCATCCTGTTTAGAGGATGCAAAAGCAAAGGCACAGACTTTGTGAATGGTGATGTCTGCGCAACAGGATGGGCTCAGCAGAAAGCCCGACATTTTTGCTTATCCCGCAAGCGTTTGCTGACTGCCCATGACCTTCTCTCCCACAGTTCTGGAGAACGATGAAGAGATCAAGCAGCTGAACAAGGAGATCAGTGAGCTGAACGAGTCCAACTCGGAGATGGAAGCGGCCATGGTGAAACTGCAGTCGCAGGTTTGTGTGCTTGGATGTGTGCCCAAGCCCACAGATGCATGGCCAAGCCCCTGACACGGGTGGTGGTGGGTGCCGTTGCGTGAGCCTTGGTAACCCTGCCATGCGCCTTGCTCTGCAGATCTCCACCATGGAGAAGAACCTGAAGAACATTGAGGAGGAAAACAAAATCATAGAGGAGCAAAACGAAGCCCTGTTCCTGGAGCTCTCAGGGTTGAGCCAGGCTCTAATCCAAAGTCTTGCCAATATCCGCCTTCCGCACATGGTAAGAAACTTTGACAGCGCTCGCCCCAGCTGGCGTGATCGAGGGAGCCGTGCCAAACCCAATTCACCATAAGGCTTACGTACAATTAAAGAGTGGGAGAATTTCTCTATATACACCTACATGTCCTTTACAAGATCAGTACTTTTGCCTTATCTCTGAAGCTTGCATTATATCTCCCTTTTGTTGTCATTTTCTGCTGATCTCTCTTTGTATCTATTGTTCTGTCTCATTACATCTGGGAGCATTATCACAAAATAGGAAACTTTATCAAGGGCACCCAGCGCCTTTTAGGCTAAGACAGCACAAGCAGAGATCAGGAGGGATTGGATTTCAACGTCAGAAAGATCTTACAGCTCCTATTATAATGCAGGTAGTTTCAATTCGGGTTTGAATAGCTTGCAGCCAAAGAATAGCATTCTTAAAGAGAGTGTATTTTGTTTAATTTAGCAAGGTCTAACAGCCCACAGCATGTTACAGAGAGTTACTGCAAAATGAAAAGACTGCATTAAAATAGTACAACCACAAAAGGCTATTAATTACCTTCTCTCTATTCCCAGGAATGTAATTACTGTTGTCAAAAGCAGGTGTGTGGAGGTGGGGGTCTCGTGTTGTTGGGGAAGCTGTCCTCTTACAACTCATAAAGACCATCGCAATGATCATAGGAATGAGCTTTTGATTTATTTTTTTCTGCCATCTTTTTTTTTTTTTTTTTTGGGAATCCTTTTCATTGGGGTTTGTATTTAATTTCAGGCTGGTTGGAGAGAAGCCATCCTCCAGCAGAGCAGTTTTGGATAGTATTCACCCAGCTGCCTAACTGGCAGAAAACCGCTCGCTGAGTGCTTTTCTGTAAAGTGTTTGACACATAAAGGTCAAATAAACCGTTCAGCAAATATTTTTTCAAGGTTTCAGGCAACTCCAATTACATATTGCCCACGAGACTTGTATGCTCATTTTATTCCTATTCTTTTTCTTCCTTCTCCCTTTCTTTTTTCCCCATTAACTCCAAGTTAGACATTTGCAAGGTTTCCGCCCCTCAAAAGCAAAAGCTGTAGCGCGGCGGCGTGCTGGTGTGGGCAGATGCAAGCCCAAGGTGACCGGGCTCCTGTCCTAACTTTGCCTTTGATTCCCTCCGTGATGCTTCAGCAGTCCCTGCCTCCTCTCATCCTCCAGCCCTTCATTTCCATGGCTTAATTCAGCCTCAAGCCTGTCAAACTGCCTGCACACGCTTAACCTGATGCTGTTAATAGTTCCACAAGGCCAATGCATAAAATTAAGGACCCAGTTAAGATGTGTCAGGGTCAGGGGTTGCACAGTGAGATTCCCGTACGTACAACACCACGCACAAAAAGGGTCCGATGGGGAGACCTTTGGCTGTCGGTACATACAGACGATTAATTGCAAAGAAACATCTCAGCCTCTTCCTGCTCTATTACTAACACTTTTATTTGGTTTTGTTGGCTACAGGAGCCAATTAGCGAGCAGAACTTCGATGCGTACGTGAACACGCTGACCGACATGTACACCAACCAGGAGTGCTACCAGAACCCGGAGAACAAGGACCTGCTGGAGAGCATCAAGCAAGCTGTCAAGGGCATCCAGGTTTAGTGCCGCAGGACGGAGACGAGGAAGTGAGCAGACTGTAAGATGGAACTTTCCCTCCAAGTATTCAGGTTTACAAGTTGGAAAACTTGTTTAATGAATGAAAAAAAAAAAAAAAAAAAAAAAAAAAAGAAAGAAAGAAAAAAGGACCAAAATGTAACCAAGAGGCCATTTCTGAGACATGGAACTGATTGAACTCAATGTTCTCGTTTACTTAACTTTGGACCTTCTTGAGAAAAGTGGGATTTTTCTACCTGGACCACGAGGTAGATCAGGATGGAAGGTTAAATTCTCCAGTAGGCTGTGGGGCTTGGTAGCTGGTGAAGAGCAGGCATCTTTCATGAGTTGCCACGCTCTTGCAGAGTTGATCCAAGAGTTAAAACGTTACAAGAACAGGGTCTTGTCTGATCCAAGACTAGCATATGACTGGCTTAAACCCTCATGTTGTCTATGGTTGTATGTCCAGATCACCTACTCACACATGAATTATGTTCTATGTTGCTACAAGTGCTGGAGCTGCAAGCTACCTGTAAATCTGAACCTGTGCTGGGCCTCCCAACCCCGAGGTGTTCAGATATCCACTGGGCATGGGAACTCTGAAGTATTATAAAGTAGCTTATTTTTATTTTCTGAAAGAAATCTGAAGAGCAGTTCTGGATCTCCAGTGGAAAGCGCAATGGAAAAAAAGGTTCTCAGGGAAGCTTTTGGAGTTTGCAACTACAGTATTCCTTTGTCTGTTTTAAATATGAGAATAGCTATTATGAATAGGCCAATACCAGATATTTCATACGGAAGAATTCTTAATGTGTCATGGTCCGGTGTATATGATTTTTTGGAAGTCAGTTTGATGACAGTTCTGGTTCTTTTCATTATTGTGATCATCCTTACAGTGGCGCAGTACTGCCAGTCCAGAGATCATACATCAATGCCAGAGAACGTTCGAGATTGTGATGAACAAAGGAAAAAAAAAAAAAGAAACAAAAAAACAACAAAAAGAGAGATGTTAATTGATGGCCAGCAAAGTGCTTACCTACCATGAATCAGTAGCTGATTTCTTACACGTATCCATAGGGCAATGGGTATTTTTTGTTTTGGTGTTCTATGTTTTGCGCAAAATCACAGCGCAAGCGCCATTCTGAGA